AACCACATGACCTCCTCATCACTGCCTGTCTATACAGACCTCCAGGTCTCTATGTTTGGTATTGAGATTAAAGGCGTGTGTCTCCATGCTGCCTGTGTCCTTGAACACACAGAGATCTGCCTGTCATGTGATCAGGATTAAAGGTGTGCACCACCACCGCCTGGCTTCTGCTATGGCTTGCTATTAGCACTGACCCCCAGAGAACTTTATTAACATACAAATAAAATCACATTTCAGTACAAATGAAATATCACCATAAGAGTTTGTGTGTGTAAGTGTAAGTGTAAGTGATGGTTCATGATAATTGTCAGTTTGATCCGATCTACAGTCATCTGGGAAGGGAGTATCAGTGTGGGATTGTTTAGATTAGGTTGGTCTTCAGGTATGTGTATGGGAGGTTATCTTGATTGCATCATTTGAGGTAGGAATGAACAGCTGTCTGCTGTGGGTAGCACCATTCCCTAGGCAGAGAACTGTCCAAGAGCAGAGAAAGCAAGCTGAGCAGAAGCATATACATATATATTTATTGCTTTCCGTTCCTGGTTATGTATATGATATAACAAGTTTTCTGCAGCTCCTTCTTCTGTGGACTGTAACCTGGAACTATAAGCCAAAATAAACTCTTTCTGTCCTTTTTTGTCAGGGTGTTTTATCACAACTGGAAAAGAAATTAAGGCAGTGTATGTGTTTAGGTACGGTATGTGTGTGTGGTATCTTGCACATACATGTGTGTATGGATGTGTACCAGAGGAAGGACATTGGGTACCTTCCTCTGTCACTCTCTGCAATAGTCCTTGGAGACCGGATTTCTCTCTGATCCTGGAGCTCCCATTTTACATCAAGGGTAGCAACCAGCAAACCCCAGGATCCTCTTGTCTCTGCTTTCTCAGTTTCGGGATAATAGGTGTGTGCATCACATAGAGCTTTTATGTGGGTGTTGCAATCTGAACTCTGGTCTTCTGCTTATGCAGCAAATGATATTACCTGCTGAGCCATTTTTCTAGCTCCCTTCCTTTTGGTTTGTTTGTGACAGGGTCTCTTGTGTCCCACACTAGCCATGAACTCCATGTAGCCAAGGGTGACCTTAAACTCTTGATCTGCCCAAGCACTGTGGTTCCGGGTGAGAGCCATCCTGCTCAGTTGTGGTTTACATGGTGCTGGGAATCAAGCTCAGGACCTCTGACAAGCTAGGCAAGCGCTCTAGGACTGAGCTGTTTCCCTGGCCCCAGATGTAAAGTGACCATCTTAACATCTCTGGCCCTCTCTACAAAACTGAATGCCATGATCGACTTATGTTCTGGTTTGGATCTGAGATGTTTTGAATGTTCACTTCCGGGCTGTGGTCATGTTAGCAGGTGGGGACTGATTGCTAGGAAAAAAGTCACCAGACACCAAACACAGGCCTTTAAAGGTTAAATCCTCTCCCGGTTCCAGCTGCAGCCACCGCTTCCTGGTGCTTTGCCTTGTAGACAGTTGCACTGCCTAATGGTTCTGCCACCCCACCTTCCCCGAGTAATGAACTAAGGCTCCTGAAACTTTGAGCCCAATTCAACATGTCCTCCAGTAAGTAGTTTCTGTTGGGAATTTAACCACAGTGACTAGAGAAGTAACTAAGACACCTATGTCAGGTCTCTGTCTTTCTCTTTGTCTCTTCCTGTGTATGGGAATAAAGCCCTACACCTAGCCATCATGACTTTCCCGAGCAGGGGAGTTTCTGCTCTGTCCCTGGAGCCGCATCGTTTTACTGCTTCAGTTGCTTAGAGCAGAGGTCATCTCAGAGGGTTTTGGTGTTTACCATTTCTCTCTCCAATATTTCACCTTGTGATGGGGATCAGAATGCTTTAGGGTGTGGGCCACCAGTATGGGGACAGGCCAGGCCCCGGCTGATGACAATGGGTGCTTCCTTCCTCAGTTAATACCTCAAGATCTTTCTAGCCAGCATCTTTGAATTTGGAGCTACTCCAAGTTTGTAAAGGGTTTCATGGCGCTGCCCCCGCCCCCTTGCCTCCTCCTTTCTTCTTTCCTGAAACAGGGTCTGATGTATTTCAGCCTGGCTTTGAACTTGCTGTGTAGCCAAGGATGACCTTGAGTCTACTACTTCCATTAGCACAGGGGACCTGGGCACCATTCTCCATTCAGGAGGTGCGTTGTGAACTCTAGGCACACATTCTACAACTGAACCACATCCCAGCCCCACCTCTTTAACCCTTTTTCTGCTGCTCTCATGAGGAAGTCAGTTCTTTCTCCCTTGCTGTTTTATAGACTACAGTCTAAAGAGTGTGCTGTGGACACTGGCTTCATGTCCCATCCCACTCTTCTGCGGTCACATCCAGTCTAACCCTGATTCTAGACCCCAATGAATTTATGGTCATTTTGTAGGCATCCTTGGTCCAAGCTGGGTCCAAGTATTTACATTTCACAAATACCTCGTGATGGCTCCGTGTCTGGCTCTTAAATTAATCTAATGAAGTAGCTCTGGCACTTAACGTGCACTAATGGCTTCCTGTTCAATGCCAGATGTAGCTAGAGATTCCTTGATCTGGGCCCTACCCATGAGAACCTTATATCCCGCCCTGTATCGCTCACAGTCCCACTGGCTTTCTCTGTAACTTCCAGACACTAGGTGTGTTCCTACCCTGGGTCCTGCCCTAGGCTGGACGCACTCTTTTCTTCCAAGGCTCAGATATTTTAGTTTCTCAGGGAAGCCTTGCTTAACTACGTTTCATTCTCTAGTTCCTCTTTATTGTATAACCCTGCTGTTTTAGTTACCGCAGCCTAAAATAAAAATCCCTTAGGCTGGGTAGTTTAAACGACAACATTTGTTTGAAAGTCCAATATCAAGGTTCGTGGTAGGGTTTACAGATCACTGTCTTTTTTTTTTTTTTTTAGCAAGAGCAAACTCTCCGTTGCTTGTTATGAAAAATACTAATACTATTCATGAGTCTGCCTGCATGACCTAACTGCTTCCCATAGGTCCCGCCTACTGATACTGTCCCACCCTAAGGATAAGAATTCAGCATAGATTTTTGGAATAGTACACAAATATTCAACCCATAAGACTCATCTTATTTTCTGTATAATCAGGATCTGAAGATATGTATTTATATGTTTATCTCCAATACCTAGCCCGTAGATTACTATCAGTCTAAATAACTGTAGTCCCAGTATCTAAGACAACCCCTGGCATTTAATAACCGCTTGAAGTAAATTTATTGACACATCCAGTGGTATTTCTATAGAAGGGGTCAGACAATATATGTACTGAACATCTGCATTATGTCTTCAGATGTTTTACCGCCATGATCTCTTTTATTTTTCCAACCTCTTATGAAGATGCATGGAAACAGGCTCCCAGCTTTACAAGTGAGGCGATAAAGACCCAACGTTTAAATGTCAGGACTAGATTCCAATTATTATGCTGGTGGTGATGGTGGTGGTGGTTGTTGCTGCTGCTATGGCTGCTTTGAGACAGAGTCTTACTAACTATCTACCCCATCATGTAGCCCAGGCTGCCTAGGACTCTTTATTCTGCCTCTGTCTTCCCTTGCTTGGAGCCATGGTATTATTTTAAGAAATCTAAACCTTTGAGGCAGAGCACAGTAGATGACAATCCCATTAAGTCATTAAATGCTTGGTAAAGAACTAATGAATGGGTGATTTTTCATATGTTTCTTTCATAAATTCCTTTTCTACAGAAGGGAATTTATATTCTATTCAAAGCACTCAAGAGGCAGAGGCAAGTGGGTCTCTGTGAGTTCAAGGCTAGCCTGGTCTACAGAGTATGTTCCAGGACAGCTGGGCTACACAGAAAACCCGGTCTCAAAAAAACCAGAGAGAGAGAGAGAGAGAGAGAGAATAGTCACATGCTCACCTGGATTGACTTGAAGAAGATCAAATAAATAACTTGTTCTTGGCACCAGCCCCTCACTTGGACGAGGACTAGATCTTACAGGGTCACCCAAAGGAACCCTCCCTTTTGTTAGTTTAATCAACCCTTTTATCGAGCCCTCGTTAGAGCAAGCGTCCAGCCTTCACGCTTCACTGGAGCTTGGGCCGTACTTAACAAATACAGAACAAGAGAAGTTCATGGCCTTTTCTGGAAAGTTTTTTCTTTTCTTTTCTTTTTCTGGTGGGAATAATTAGATCTTGTGAGAACCAGTGTTCGAGTGTTCATGCTGCTCTGTGCCAAGTCTCAGAGGCCTTTCTAGATTCCTGGCTTCTTTTCTTGTTTCCTGATGTGATGAATTGATGGATGTTGGCCTCATTCCTCTGTTGGCTGGTTTCTTTGTATGTTTACGTAGAAACAGCTACCTGAGTCACAATGAGGAATGAAGGGCATTGCCTCCTCCCACATTGCAGAGACCTTCCTTTCACCCAGAGAAAACATTTTCAAAATCCCACTCATTGCTCCTCCCTCCCCATGACAATCCTGTATGTTGCGTGGAATTTTCCGCTCCTACCAAGAGAGACCAGTTTCCTGCCCAATCAGTCAAGCTAATTAGTAAGTGATGGTCGTAGAATGACCATCAAAATAGATGGGAAAAAAATACACTGGGCTCTGAACAGCTCTCAAAGAAATAGTTCTTTTTTTTTTCAGTCAATAACTACTGATTGATGCCATGTGCTAATTGTCACAGTGGGCCATCATGGATTTACAGCTGAGCAAAGAAAAAGACTTTAAGTTATACTGGACTGAATATATAATTAAATATACATATAATTAGTTGCATATATGTATATCTGATATGTTAACTGTGAAGGAGAAGAAAGTGCTCGTACTTTTTAACAAGATGATGGGGGCTGAAAGGGAGTGCCTCCTTGAGGAGAGAATTGAGCCCAGGTCTAAAGAATGAATAGAAATCAGATAAATGTCTGTGCACTATGTACATGGATTCAGAGGCTGTGTCTCCAGAGCATATATTTTCCTTTTCTCCACTTCTGAGTCATCAAGGAAGTAAGTTGTTTATCTTTGCCTCATATTCCCATTGATGTTGGGTCAAAGCTCATGGGTCCAGGTGACCATTGACTGAGCCCTTGGAATCCATGAGCAAAAATAAACCATCTTCCTTGTACGTTGTGTCTATGGGTTCTTTTCTTTTCTTTTTTTTTTACAGCAAGGCAAAAGTAATACAGTTTCGTAAATATTGGGGGCATACAAATTAAAACATAACTAACGCATACATATAGCTCATTTGGGCATGGTGGAGCACACCTATAACCCCAGCATTTGGGAAATAGAGACAGGAAGATCAGGGGTTGAAAGTCATTCTTGGCTACCTAGTGAGTTCACGGCAAGTCTGAACTATGTGAGACCCTGTGTCAAGAACAAATTTTAAAAAGTCATAACTCAAGAAGACAAATAATAACAAGAAAATATAAAAATGCTCTAAAAATAAACTCTATAAAAATCAGGAATGAAACTGGGCAGTGGTGGCACACGCCTTTAATCCCAGCACTCGGGAGGCAGAGCCAGGCAGATCTCTGTGAGTTCGAGGCCAACCTAGTCTACAGAGCGAGATCCAGGACAAGCACCAAAGCTATACAGAGAAACCCTGTCTTGAAAAGCCCCCCCCCCAAAAAAAAATCAGGAATGAATATCCAGTAAGTATATGAAAAGTTGTGTAACACCATTAACCTCACGGAAATGCAAAATCATTGGAATGGCCGTGAAAAACAGATGACATATTTCCATGTGTGTGTTGGGGTAGGGGTGTGCAGTCCCTAAAAATAGAAAGATCCCAGAAAGGAGCACAGCACCTTGGAAAACAGGAATGAAATTCATGAGTGGACTGCAGTATTTGGAGAACTGGGAGGGGCGGGGAGCAATGAACCCTTAGGCTAGGACCGTGTTTGGTTGCCTGCATTTTATTATCATCCGCTAAGACCTTTTTTAGTCTGTGAAATGTGGATGCCAAGGATCCACAGCTTGCTTTAGCCATTGGCTCTAAAGTGTGTATATGACATGCTCTGTTCTGAAAAACAAGGCCAAATTCACATCTACTAAGACACAGTTTCTCATCTTTTAAGGGCTCTGAGCCGCTCACACCAGAGAAGAGCAGATGAACTAGAGAAAGGGAGCTCAAGCATGTCATCCCGAGTTTTCACTCAGTCCTAACTTCCCACAGTACAATCCACCGCTTCTGTTGTATAGTTTGGTAGCTTTGCTCTGTCATTCAGATCGTAGGACATGTCTACCACTCCAAGTTCCCAGTGCCTCCCTTCTCTCAGCTCCTCACCAGTGGCAACCACCGAGGGGATTTTTGCCATTCATTAGGTTTTTAGAGCCAAACGGAATCCTTGGCAACTTCAGGCAAATGGTTTCGCTTCTCTTTGACTTGGGTCTGCTGAAGACATAGACTCAACATCTTCCTTGGGGTTGGAGAGTGAGATCCGAGTAGGCAGACCCTCCCGCCCCCGCAACCATGACAGACATGTTGTCCCTCCCTCCTCCCCCTCAGTGTGAATGCGTTGGCAGGTTTTAAGAGGCGACCAGCCATACCCAGTGTGTAAAGTAAATCCGAAGCTTTCTTCAATCCTGGACTGTCTCCATATCCCCGAGACTAGAAAACAGCTGGAAGATTCAGGAAGGGTTCTGAGTGTTGAGAGGGAAAGATGGTCATGGTTTGGTTTCATTCGTTTAGCATCTGGAGCTACGAAACAAATGTTCCTCTTGTTTTAAGGCATCCTGGTTTTCTTCTAAAAGCACCGAAGAACAAATGTAGCGGCCACATGTCACGAAAATGGCTCAATTAAAGAAGGGGGAGTGGACAGTTGCAAAAACTGCACACACATTCTTTACATGTTATGGAGTGCCTGCTACCTAAAATGCCCTGAGGCAGGCCCTGGGGTCCAGTTGTGCTTAAGGCCAGCCAAGGTCCTTACCCTCAGGGTTCCAAGTCTAATGATGAGCCAGATATTAATAATTTCCAAAGACTTAACGACATATGATGTCACTAATGCAACTGTTGGTTACCTGTACACATTCCATGGCCAATTATGATTCAGGAATTTCGCAGGAAACTTCCTGCCGGAAAGCCTTGGGTTCTGGGACACAGTAAGCTTGCACATTTCATTGTCTTCAGGATTGAACAAGGAAGACTATGTCGTTGAGTGTTTCATTTTGCCTCGTGCGTCAGTCTCTTCAATCTGCCCCCACCTTTTCTTGTGCCAGATGAAATCGACTCTTGTCACTATTACATTTACAGCGTATGTTCTCCTGAGGACAGGCCGGGGGAGACAGTGATGAAAACATTGGTCTGGCGGAGGGTCAGCTGGCTGGGGCGGGAAGAATGGTACTGAGTTGATTGAATGCTTTGTTTTGCGGATTCCTGATCCTCCTCCAGTCCCTTTGGTCTCAGTGAATGTCATCACCGCCCACCCAGTTTGTCAGGCCAAGGATCTGAAGGCCACATTTGCTTCTCTCTTTTCCCTTCAGTTTAAGATGTCCTCAAAATGCATCGTAAGTGAATGAATCCTGTTTTTATTTTCTTAAAAAAATTGAAGCATAGCACTGGGTACCCAGGTAAAGTTTCAGTCAGACATAAGTCATAGGCAGCATTGAACCCACGAGACATTACTAAAATAACAGTCTTTAAGTGTAATGTCCGGAATATAATCCCACCTTTTCAATAAGTTTAATGGATAGTTGGTATGAGTTCTAAGAATCATCAAACCCATTTGCATTATCTCTACCATCATTTTTAGTGATAGTCCAGTGATATAGATATGTTCCTCTTTTTCCAGGTAGAGAAAACGAGGCTCAGGTTAGGACTAGATGGATTCGTATTTGCATAGGTCTAGATCCTGTGCTTTTGGGATTGTTAAACATCTCTGAAAATTACTATCTCAAATGAAGGTATATGTGGGCCAAAGGGTTTAGATGTTCTTGGGGCCAGCAGCAGAATATACTCTTGGAACCACTGCATTGGTTCACACTATGCAGCTATATTCATCAAGAACATAACACTGATAATAGCATTTTGGAGAAGTGATACATTCATATTAATAAATAGTTTAAAATTGAAAGGACTGAGCCCTGGAAATTGTAGTTGGAAGGTTTCTCCAGTCCCGCCAGGCCCCCTCAGTCCTGTGGCCCACTTATGAAATAGTCACTCAAAAGCTTATATTAATTATAACTTCTTGGCCATTAGCTCAGGCTTATTTATTACTGACTAGCTCTTATACTTAAATTAACCCATAATTCTTATTTATGTTTAGCCACATGACTTGGTACCTTTTCTCAGTTCTGCCTTGTCATCTTGCTTCCTCTGGATCTGGCTGGCAACTCCTGACTCTGCCCTTCCTCTTCCTACCTGACTTGCCATAGGCTAGAGCAGCTTCTTTATTAACCAATCATAGCAACGCATATTCACAGTGTACAGAAAGAGATCCTACAGCAGAAAATGAAAAAGCATACTGTATTCCAAGGATTTGAGCAGCCTAACTCTGCTGGCATATGTGATACTTCAAATGTAGCTGGCCTGGTGGGTGAATACATTTTGTCGGTCTGACACCCCAAAACATGAACAGTATCTAGTGCATCAGGAGAGTGTGTGTAGATCCTGCTCATGTGATTATGGATGCCTAAATAAGCTCTGCTGTTTCACCCACAGCTTTAGTATCTGTTCTGTTTCTAATCTCTGAGGTTCTTTTGCATTTATGTAGTGTGTGTGTGTGTGTGTGTGTGTGTGTGTGTGTGTGTGTGTGTACTTGTACATCCCACAGCGCAAGTGTGGAAGTCAGAAAACAACTTTCAGGGTTCGATCCTTCTACTATGTGGGTTCTATCAGTCAGTTAAATGCAGGTGCTCAGACTTGGTAGAAAGCACTTGCCAAGCCATCTCGCTGGCCACAGCATGTTTTTTTCTTCCCTCTGTGTTTTTCCTGATCATGATCCCAGCTCTATTCTGGCAGAATCCCATATCAATTCTTGTCTTCCTTTGTCCTAAAATTCACTCTCTTGACTGTCTCTCTTCTAGCCCCATCCATGAGCATAACCCTTCTATCAGTACCACTATGGAATTTGAGGTCAGATAAGCTTCTAGGTTATTAAGGACCCAAGGAAATGTAGACTCCCACCCAGCTGCTGAGGGCTTATTGAGCTTCTAAGATCATCTGCAAACCAAATTGACTTCCTAGAAGTGAAGGCAGCTTACTAGACATCAGCTCAACTGAGTTCTGAGATGTGAAGTAGGCTTCTGCACTGTGTACTTCTGTAAATGTAAATACATTGGAGTAACAATCATTTGGTTAAAAAAAAAAAAAAAAACAAGTTTAAAATCCAATCATAAATACATCTGAGTTTCCAGACTGTGATCTCTGTTCCCAGTAAGAAGCAGCTTAGGACTTCAAAGATTTCTGAGTCAGCATTATTTTGTGACCATATGCTTGTGTGAGCATCTCCTCAAAGTTAGAGTACAAAAAAAAGGAGTTTGTACATCTGCATCACCCTCGTGCAATTTCAGATTATTCGTGAATCATCCAAAAAAGCATGGATCATTAAGAGGGGAATCTCCTAGTTTACTTACTAGAATAAATAGAAATAGGTTAGAATCTTCTAACCTATTTATTTATCTTTTTAAAAACATGTTTTTTCGTTTTCTTCCTTTTCCTTCTACTTCCTCCTCCTTCTTCTATTTCCTCCTCCTTCTTCTACTTCCTCCTCCTTCTACTTCCTCCTCCTTCTACTTCCTCCTCCTCCTCCTTTTTTTCCAAGTGTAGTGGCATCTTTAATCCCAGCATCCAGGAGACAGAGACAGGTGGATCACTCCAAATTTAAAGCCAGCCTATGTTTCAAGTTCTAGGCCAGCTAGGGTAAATAGAGAGACCCTGTCTCAAAACAAACAAACAAGGAGCATTTGTAGGCCAGGCTGGCCTCGAACCCAGAGATCTACCTGCCTCTGCCTCCCAAGTACTGGGATCAAAGGCATGCGCCGTCACCACCTGTTTTTTGTTTTTTTTAAAGATTTATTTATTTATTATGCATACAGTGTTCTGCCTGCATGTATGCTTGCAGGCTAGAAGAGAGCACCAGATTTTATTACACATGGTTATGAGCCATGATGTGGTTGCTAGGAATT